ATGGTGTTATCAAACGGAGAGATATGCATAATTTATATACAGGGTGTCCTAAAACTACCGTATTTCCTTTTAATGGCAGATTCCTTAGAATATTTCAAGACGAAAATCCTAATACAAAAATGTTGAGACTATAATAGTTTTTAAACGGGAAGCGGTTATATTTTACGAATGACAGGGCTGAAATTTCGCGCGCTCAGACATGGCGAAATAACAAGTGAAAAAATGCTCTGAGAATGGGGCGCCCTTTTTATGATATTATGATTATCACATAAATTTACAATAGTATTGTCATTATATGTTTTCCCGCCTTTTCTACGCATTGCATTAGTATATTCTTTTTACGAATAATGGATGCAAGAACTAAAGGCATCTCAAAAATGATTCAAGTAAAAATTTGTAACATATTTCAACTTCAGCTGTCAAAGTGGTCGATCAATGTTACCATGAAGGTGTGTACTATTTCGCCGTACCTGAGCGCGCCAAATCCCAGCCCTGTCATTCGTAAAATATAATCGCTTCCCATTTAAATACTATTATAGTCTCGACATTTTTGTATTAGGATTTTCGTCTTGAAATTTTCTAAGGAATCTGTTATTAAGAGGAAATACGGTAGTTTTAGGACACCCTGTATATAAATTATGCATATCTCTCCGTTTGATAACACCATAGACATAGAAAATATAGAGACCGAGTATAAACTCGTGGTTTAGGCGAAGGGAGTGAAGCTACTGCGGGACGGTGCGACGAGGTAAACTGCGCCTAAATTTGATTGACTGTTATATTGCGCAAGTTCACGTCAGTGATATTCGTGTCGTTGGCGGCTGTCAAACATATAATTATCACACATATTTTGACAGTATTTGTCTATATGTTAAAGAAATTTGTCAGAAATAGAATATATTAATATATAAATATATAAATATATAAAATATATAAATATATATAAAATGTATATAATATATTTATATATTTTAAAATGTATAAATATAGTATATATAAAATGTACATAATAAAATATATTATATACAGCGTGTCCTAAAAATAACGGACTTCCTCTTAATGGCAGATTCCTTAGAACATTTCAAGATGAAAATCCTAATACAAAAATGTCGAGGCTATAACAGTTTTTAAACGGGAAGCGATTATATTTTACGAATGACA